TGGCTATTTGTACTATTTTACCGTTAATAAAAAGATTTAACATTATTAAAATATGTAAAATTATTTACCACTTTTTCATGGCCTCAATAGACGGTCGTCACTTTAATAATTATGCCATTTATTGATATTTTTTATTTATATTAACAATTTTATTATAATATGCTATGTTTTGAATATTCTTTTGAAGTATTTCTCTTGGCTCTTACTTATTGCATCGAATTAAAAAAACAAAAAAAACATTCAATTTGAGAAATCCTAACAAAAATGACAAAAGGTTAGAATTATCTGCAATGATAGGATTTGATAAGAGTAACAGTTACTGTGATGTACAAAATAAATGCACACCCTTAAATGTTACTGTATTTAAGTTTATTCATTGCATACCCAAAATAGGTTTGGTTGTAAAAATAAGACATTTATAAAGAAAATGTTTATAATTATTGAGTAAAGAATTTTTTTAAAAATCAAAAACAGATGAAAGGGTAAAATAACTTTTTAGTCCCTTTTAATACCGAGTTAAGCTTCAGTTGTCTTCGATTGGGTTCAAATCTGGACTTCGAGCTGGCCACACCAAACACTCAATTCCAACTTCATTGAGGTAGTCATCCACAGTACGTAATCAATGGGGCCTGGCTTTATCCTGCATTAGCAAGAATCTGTCACTGATGCGGGGGGGTTAAAGATCTTCCTCGCACTACAACCAATTCGGTGCGGTGCCAATGGGCGTACCTTCTCCTGAGCGTCTTCAAATGACATTACACCTATCTGAAAATTTAAGGCGAACCCTCACCTCATCTGTAAAGATAACTCGTCCCCAATCTTCCAAAGCCCAGTTTCCGTACGAATTTAAGCCGTTTTCTGAGCTGTGGTAAGAAGAGGTCCACGAGCCGGGCCCTGAGGTTATTTTTATTGGACTTCTTCTTACAGCCCTGGAGGAAGTCGAAATATTTCGAACTTGTCTTAACAGATTTCTTTTTCTCATTTTCCGTAATGCTGCGATTTCGTAGAGCGTGATGACGGATGAATTTCTTGTCTCTCTCGCGTCTAAAGATTGTCCTGTCTAAAGCCCTGTTTTCATAAGCGCCGAAGAACCCTTCCTATTCTTGTAGAGTGACATAACTCAGTCTCCTGTCGACTTCCTCTAATAATGTTCTCTGTTATATTCGCTCAAACGCCTGACTGGAGTCATTGAAAAAAGTTTAAGAATAAGTATAATATTCAATGAAATCAACGAAGGAAAACGATTAACTGAAAGCAATATTTTAGCTGCAGATTGGAAGGGCACAATGATACATTTTGTGCAAACGGGATTAATCAGTACAAAAGTAAACAAAGGACGAAAACAAAGCATTATTTACTGTTAGCTTATAATTATCGTATAACTAATGTAGAACTGTAATAGATTTAATTTTGAACTAAATAAATAGAGTGGAGCATTAAATTTAGCCATCAGTGTAAATTTTATCAAATTGTGACTTTATTATGCGATGGAAAATCGCACGGTGGCACAAATCATATATTCATAAATCAGAAATGTGTTTTATTACATTCATAATTATTCAGCATCTTTTCTTTCATGGCTTCAATCGTCCGGGGAGAGGTCAACCGTCGTCACTTTAATAATTACATATGTTATTTATCGGTTTTTTTATTACTTCTGAACTTGGCTCTCCCTTTTTGCCTTGAATTAAAAAATAATCAGTTTGCGAAACCCAAATAAACATGACAAAGGGTGAGGTTTGTCGGCAATGATGAAGAAATGATGGTAAGAATGAAATTTCAATTTTATCAAATTGTCATTTTATTATGCAATGCGGCAATTTAATTGACTGTAACAACAAAAACATGCCCCTTATGCAGAGAAAGGTTGCTCGATGTGTCCCACATAATAGGGGCGTGTCATGCCTTGGCTCCATACAGAGAGCGTGTAGGCTTGCCGCCGGACTTAAGAAGAGTTATCGAACACAGTAGCGAGTTTCAGAGTCCCCTGTTCCGCTTTTTAGGAGAAATTGGATTTTTTATTGTATATAATATGTTGTGTCTATATGTTTTGTCTGAGTACATGTATTTATTAGCGTGAATGGCGAGGGGTGAGAGTGAAATATAACGTCATCATCACTTTCTGATGACACAGACACTTCAAATATCGAGCTGTACCCAAATCAGATTCAAAAATGGTGACCAGTGTATTTCGAAAAGGGATAACTCTTCGAATTCTCTGCTGGAACAATGGACATCTTCAGATTGGTACAAAAACAAAGACAAGTTTGTACATATTTACAGACTCGAGTTGATACTAGAACAGGCTTAAACCACTATATGATTAAATAGGAGCTGAGTAATGAGTACTGATAAGTAACTCAGGTAATCGACATCATTAATTCACTTCCATTAAAGTTTTTGTTATAAAGAAAGGGCATCGGTGGTCGCAATAGGCGTTTACTGGGCACTCAAGTTGAAGGTACCGAGTTCGAACCCGACATACTTACAAATGGGCTTTTTCTAAAAACACGCCACCCCGAGGGTTTCTCAAAATCTCTCCACTTGCCAGCATTCTTCCATATAGTTCTTCTTGGAATCTGATATAAAGTACAGATTCTAGACTTAGTGGACTTGGGTGGGGCTTGACTTAGGCCTAATGTCTGTCCTAAATCTGGACTTAGGCCTAAATCTGGTCAGTTTCATACTTTATAGTATAGTAGATGATGTGTTGTCTGCGAGTCGGTGAACTTTGTTGAACCGGCACACGGCCACTTACTGGTCCTGTCTCCACTTCTTGTTTTTTGTTTGATTATTCAAACGCGTTTCGGCATTGCGCCATCTTCAGTGAGGAACTGTCGGCCACTTTGTCTTATTATTGTCATTAATGCTTCCATAAATACCATGTATTTATATGTATTATATATAGCATGTTAATTGGGATAATGTATTTCTGCATGATAAAAATGTAGATGTGCAAAACAAAAATCAATAGACATCAACGCGTGCCCAGTTAAGTACATAGATAACTGTGGGCTTAGTCAAAGGCAAAATCAACGCCACAGTGCATATTTTCCAATAAAATATAATCTAACCTCAGCTCGAAGTTTATCATTTCTTCAGTATCAGCAAGACATCGACAAGTTGAAAAATGACTACCAATTGCGACAGTTTTCTGACAAGTTCCCTATGCGGGCAATGCTGGTTGTAAGAGCGTAATTTGTAACATTCATTAACTTACAAATTGATATTATTCAAACCAAAAAACTATGTTAAAACGGTGTATATTTCACAATTACCCCTACGTTGAACGTAACTGGAATCTGGAATAAATTGAAAACATTCCTCCATACACTTTTTTTTGTCTATTTTGATATGTAAGCATATTTGATTAAAATGATCTTTAGGATGTAGCGCAGCAAATTTTAAAATTGACCCCTCGTCTGCTGATGCTAGTATGCTCTATATTTCAGAGAATGTATACGTTCAAAATAAACCAACCGGCTAGCTTGGGAGGTTTTGGCCAAACCAATGGTTTTGCTATACAATAATTCGCGAAATAAATTCTGTTTTTATAAATACTACTCGTTTTTATTATTATTATTTTAAGGGTGTACCTGACAAAAAATTATAGTTGGTTTTGCTATTCAATAATTCGCGGCAGAAATTCTATTTTTATAAATACTACTCGTTTTTTAATTATTATTATGTGGTGTTTAGTGACCGTTAGTTAATGACTATTTGGAGATCGTGAGATTCGGTTTGGTGTGACGTAGGTTTTAGAAAAACATTTTCTTTATCGTGCCAACGTTTCGATCTTTATTGAGATCATCTTCAGGGCTCAAAGTGTTTGTTTTCCGTGTAGATGTGTCATTCTTGGAACACGGCACACAAGAATGACACATCTACACGGAAAACAAACACTTTCAGCCTGAAGATGATCTCAATAAAGATCGAAACGCTGGCATGATAAAGAAAACGTTTTTCTAAAACCTACGGCACACCAGACCGCATCTCACGATCTCCAAATAATCATTATTATTGTATTATCACACCTGACAAAAAAACATAACTTTTTGATTTTATGCAATAGAGCCCATTCATAAAACCAAAAAAAGGACGTTGTACGCCTGAACATGTGGACGTTCAGAATAAAAAAACCGGCTAGCTTGGGAGGTTTAGTCCAAAACAATAGTTTTGCTATTCAATAATTCGCGGCAGAAATTCTATTTTTATAAAACCTACTTGTTTTTTAATTATTATTATTTTATTTTCGCACCTGACAAAAAAATTTTAGTATAACTTTTTTGATTCTATGCAACAGAGTCCATTCATAAAAGCAAAAAAAGCACATTGTACGTCTGAACATGTGGACGTTAGAATTTAAAAAACCGGCTAGCTTGGGAGGTTTAGTCCAAAACAATTGTTTCGCTATTCAATAATTCACGGCAGAAATTCTATTTTTATAAAAACTACTTGTTTTTTAATTATTATTATTTTATTTTAGCACCTGACAAAAATAATTAGTACAACTTTTTTGATTTTATGCAACAGAGTCCATTCATAAAAGCAAAAATTAAGCACGTTGTACGTCTGAACATGTGGACGTTCAGAATAAAAAAACCGGCTAGCTTGGGAGGTTTAGACCAAAACAATAGTTTTGCTATTCAATAATCCGCGGCAGAAATTCTATTTTTATAAAACCTACTAGTTTTTTAATTATTATTTTATTGTCGCACCTGACAAAAAAAAATTAGTATAACTTTTTTGATTTTATGCAACAGAGCCCATTCATAAAAGCTAAAATTAAGCACGTAAAAACAACTGTCAATCGACTACTTTGTTATTCTAAATATACTGAAACTATTTTAAAAATAAATTGTAAGCTGAAAAAATTATATGCCTTTGGACCCAATAGGGAAACAATAAAAACAACTATAATGAAGACTTCTTTGTTTTGAAGTTGGAATTGAAAATAGAAGAAAAGTCAAAGTAAAAGATTTCTAGACGTTCAAACATACCGCATGGTAGTTGCTGAAGGCTTTGGCGTAGGGGAAGAAAGCCAGAGTTAACAGTGCGGCAGTCAACATGATTACTACTTTAGATCATCAATCCACATTTGGATATAAATTTCGATTGCAAGTGGCGCCCTCCCTCGCCCCTCCGCTCAGCTCAGGGTCAAAAATTGGTCGAGAATGAATGAACTTGAAGAGTACTAGAAGTCGTTTTGATACAGGAAGAAATCCACCGTGGGATCGGGGCAAAATCATTTGGAGTGGGGTCCTCGGGAGGTCATGGCATTCGGAAGTGATCATATCCACCTATTTACATATATTAGTCTTTTTTATATATAATTATAAATTTAGTTTTATTTTCGCTTTTTTTCTTCTTATCGCAATGATTAGCAAGCAGGGCGTATAACAAGTTTGATATATTTCCGAAAAGTAAGCCAATGTTTTGTTAATATTGTAATGTTTCTATCTCTTATATTTCTGCCTTCATTGTGTATTTATTTCATTTCAGTTGTTGTAAAATCGTTTTACGAGTTCTTGTTTTCTTTTTAGACTTAAGACTTGTTCTTTCTTTAGACGTTGAATAGATGCCACATTTTATCATATTCTTGTGTTTGATATATTATGATCATTACTATTATTATCATTTTTATATAATTTTACCTTTTTTATTTTTCTAAAAAGGTTATTCTTAAGGCAGGGTTAGTCAAAGAGACACGTCGTTTTGATTTTAGTTATTTATTTCGCATACATCTACGTTTCGGTCAGTTTTTCTTTTTTTTCTGCCCATCTTTCGGAAAACCTTTATAAGAAATACCGTCATTTAGTTTATATTATAAAATCAGTAATTAATTTCATTTATATTATTATTTTTGTTTTATGGTTAAAACATCAATATCAATTACCTAGCTGTCACCCCTGTCCTGCCTTTGTGGTTTTTTATGAGGTAACTATCCATTTTACGTTCCTCGAGGGGCATAAGATGGATAGCTACCTTATATTAAAACGCAAAGGGAGGACAGGCGTGACAGCTAGGTAATTGATATTGATTTTTTTAACCATAAAATAAAAATAATAATAATAATAATAATAATGAAATTAATTAATAATTTTATAATGTAAACTGAATGACTGTACTTCTCGTAAAGGTTTTCCTGAAGATGGGCAGAAAAAAACGAATAAGTGAAATAAATAACCTAAATCAAAAACACGTGTCTCTTACACTAACCCTGCCTTAAGAATAAGATAGAGATAGATGCCTTTCACATAATATATTTTTAGAAAAATAAAAAAGGTAAAAGTATATAAAAATAACCCATAGACTGGAATCCTACAAAAAAAAAAAAATATATATATATATAAATAATCATCATATATAATTTCATTTAATATGATTTTTTTAAATCTTCTTAAACTGTGTTTTAATAAAAATGAAATAATTCATGCAGTATTGATCAGAATTGTTTATCTTTGAAATGAGACGTAAAATATAGTCCCAGTAGCTTTTAACAATATTTCGACGACATATCGAAATATTTTTCTTTTATATATATTATATAGGTGTTCCAAAATCGAATTTGAAATGTCGAAAATTTATTTGTTTTATTTGATATGGGGTCGATTTAGAAAGTAAGGTCGAGTCTACGCGAATCCATAGAAATGGATTTTAATTCTAACTGTCCTTCATAAAAGGTCTCTGAAATTAGCATATAAATAATTAAATAAGGTCGACAAATTATTAGCGTAATTGTTACATGTAGATATTTCAAAATAAAAATCTATTAAATTGTAAACAAACGGGCAACATTTTTTAATTAACTTCAGTCCCTCAGAGTTCAGTTGGGTTTATCTTAAAGAAACTTTTCGTGTTTCTATTGTCGACGTTCAAGCTGAAAACAAATTGTGTTTTAATGATACATGGGTCGTCTATTTGTGAAAGAAGTATTTTATTGGTTTGATTAGAGGAGTTTATAACTTATTTTTATAGAAGTCTTATCATTATTTATCAGTCTTATTTGGAAAGACCAACTTTACCATGAAAAGCAAAGAACTATTTTTATTTTTATACCTAAGTCGAATTATATATTCGAATTTTTACAGAAATCGTAGAAGGACTTCGATTCGTCTAGTGGCATACATTTCGCGCTTCAGTGCCTTTCACATTTGTGAATATGTTAAACTTATGAGTATTTCCTGAATGACCTTCCTTCCGATTTTTTAATAGCAAACAGATTTTTCATTGAACGTTTTAACTCGACCTTTATTAATAATAACTGCAAATCCTTTTCTATTTATTCATCAAGGGTAGGGTATAATTAATCGTTTAATAGTTTTTATCTAAACAAAAAGTGCTTTGTTTTTAATTTGTGTATGACCTTAGTAAGCCTGTATTTTGAAACTGGACGTTTTTCTGAATTTAATGGGTTAGCGACTTTTTTTTTTTTTTTTTTGCTTGCTTGCTTGTTTTTCCGCTATTTCTTTGTTTAATTCCAGTAATCAATAGGTTTTAACTTTGTTATGCATTTGTTTTTCACAAGATTCAAGCGATTTAAGCAACAAAATCTAAAAATTTTAAATTTTACTTTATTTCATAAATGTTACAAGTGTGTGGTGATTAGTGACCGTTAATCGATAATTATTCTGAAATCGTGAGATGCGGTCTTCTGAATAAGTAAATGTTACAAGGTTATGTAGTTGTTCAAAAAAAGAGCAAATCGTTGTCATTTTTCAGTACCATTGTGTCAATCTACCTGGCTTATTACTAGCAATTCTTCCAATTCTATTTCAACTAAGATGAGATAGTAATGGTTTGGAAAAAAAATTTATTAATTTATTTATTTATTTTTACATAAAGTGGCACATAATGCCTATTAAATGCAGATATATATCTCATGTAAATAATAGAAAAAAAATCAGAATATTGATAAATAAAACAACATATATTTACATAGATAAATTGCAAAACTTTATTATTTATTTATTTATTACGTTATTTATTTTATTATATTATCTTAATTAGTTCATTTATTGAAAACACCATATTACATAATATTATTATGCATTATATTAAGGACAAATAGAACCTCTACCACTCTTCATCATTCATCTATGGTAAGATATCTTAAAATTTCCTAATGAAGGACCTACAATTTGGCCAAAAAAGTTAAAAAGAGCAGCATGACTATGATGGCATGCTGAAAAAGGATACTAGGAAGCGAGGTTTGTGCTACCCAGGGACTGCAGCCTTTTGGCTTATTGTACCTTCCTAGTTCCTTAGTTCAGTCAATAGACTCAATCCTTCTTCTTAGATTCAGGTCATTGACTGTTGCTGCTGCAATTTGATTCCCTAAGTCTTTTCCGGTCGTTAGGTTAAACCTCCATTGATTTGTCGCTTCGCATTCGAATATGATATGGGTGGCTGTTTCCTCCTCCTCATTACATAATCTGCAAATGGGATCATCGCAGTATATACCCATGTTGTGTAGATGTTTTCTCAGATACCAGTGACCGGTTAGTAGTCCTACCACTCCTCTGAGTTTGGCCCTCTCCAATTGCAGCAGTGTTTTTGCCACTCTCGGTGAGGGTTGTTTCATCATAAGTTTACTATGTCTAGCACCGCTAGAGTTTAGCCATTTCTCCTTTTGTTTTGCTTGGATCCATTCTGCGATGGAGGATTCTATATTTGTTTTTGTTATTTCAAGAATAGGTTCGGGGCATATGTATGGTCTTGCAGATCCTCCTCTGGCCAGTCTGTCTGCTTTCTCGTTATCGAAAATTCCCCTGTGCCCTGGCACTCAAGATAACATCAGGTTGTTGAGTTTCCCCAGGTTTTGGAGATTTTGGATGCATTCACTGACTAATTTTGATGTGATTCTTTTACATGCTAACGCTTTAATAGTTGCTTGGCTATCTAACGTAACCGCTCTCAACTCCAATGCACCCAATATAAAGTAAAATAAATAATTTATTTTAACATTATCCCAGCTCCCATTTAGTTCTCACACTAATATCTCGTTGCTATTGGGTGGTGCATTGTTTAACCAATTATGTAAATTTTTTCATTTTAATATGGGGCACTCCCATATTATGCCAAAGTTTCGTTATCCCTGAAATTGTAGATTATGCATAATTGTGTGCAGTCAGTGGAATGTGCAATGCCATTATAAAAGATTCTAAAGTCTTAATTGCACTATAATTCTCTGCTTGACAATGGAAACATTTTGAAGGAAATAATTTTCACATAGATAAAGAGAGGAAATTCGCCTAAAGAAGTGGGTTGAAAACTGAGCCAATGCATCGGTCCATGTTAATTGAATACTCTATGTATCTTTTGTGCTTCGCCACCACACTTACATCATGAAAAAATGAGAAGGTTCGAGACCCAAACGAGCCAATATACATGTAAATGGTTAAGCCAGTTACCGTTGCAATATTCTGTACGAGCTAATGGGAAGTATGTTGTGAACAAAACAGATTCAAAAGATCACTTCAGAAGGGAGTTTTTATCTGCAGCCCATACTTTACTTAGCCTTTTATGAGCCTAATCAAAATTTGGTCGCTAGGAGATTCAAGACCAAACTTTTTATATAATGATCAGGAGTGTAGCGAGGCGGATGGAACATGTGTTTATAATACCTTTTTTGCAATTTGTCCATTTCTTCCGACTGTGCTACTGCCCAAAATTCAGCGTCATAAGCAGATGCAGACAACTGGGTCAAATAGGTTTTTTTTTTTTTTTTTTTTTTTTTTTTTTTTTTTTTTTTTTTTTTTTTTTTTTTTTTTTTTTTTTTTTTTTTCCGTCGCTAGGGAATCCTAACTTAACTTATACAACCCTGATTCAATTCTAGCTGCCTCTTTCTCTTTTACAGAATTAACTACTAAAATAATTGGTAATTTAAAGGATAATAAGGCCCTTGGTCCAGACAGAATTCCGTATGAATTCTATAAATATGCTCCCTATGAATTCTAATACCGTTTGTCGTTTTTTAACGCCATACTCGACACTGGGCACCTTTTTTTTTGGCAAATATGTTATATTTCCTTTGTTTAAGCATGGTGATGGTGATGAGTCAAAATATTATATGGGTATATCCTGTTCAGATACGATTGCTCAAATTGTTACTGGTTTGGTAATCG